AAAATAACAGAGATAAGAGGAGCAGTAATATGATTGCAGAACTTTCCACTTACACAAGAAAAATACCCCAGGGTTAACTCTAACCTTGTTCAATTTTTTTACAAAGTCTCAGGGAGACAGGAAACACCTTCTGATGTGTCACCTGCAATCCCTTTTTTCCTCATCTGCACATACATGATTATTACTAGTATAATTTTTTCTTTCTCTGAACCCTTCCTTGATAAAAGCCCACAGGTATTTCCACTGTGAACCAGATTCTCAAAACTACTTCCCAGATGTCATCTGTTTCTGCTTATTTAACAGAGTTCAAATGGATTTTGACAAACAGTGTTTCTTCAAGAGGCAATGGAGTAAAGACCTTTAATGACAGAACTATGTGTCATCTTTGCCTACGAGCATAAATTTGCACAGCGGGCAGTATGGTGAAAACAGCTTATCATCAACTCATCACCTCTCATCACTGTTAGAATGAAATGCAAATGGAAATGAACATCACTTCAGTCATGGCTGTGAAAATTAGCATCTGTGACATTAGCAGTGGCTCATTTCTTATACACTCAAAATTTCAGGGAGAAAGAAAAAATTTAAAACTTGCTATTTTCAGAACTCTACCAATCTACCTTTGAAATAAAATTAAACCCCTCAGCTTTACTCATTCAAGAATAAATCCTAGTTAATATTCATTAGCAATGCACAATCTCTTCACTGCAGATCTTGTCCTACAGAAGATGTAATTGTCTTGAATCTTTTTTTTTTTTTTCCTTTAGGTTTGCTGTACCTATTTTCTATTTATTTTTTTTTTCAGTAAATATTCCACATTAGACTGCACAAGCCACTGTCTAAGAAAAGTGGAGCACCAAAAAACTTGCTTGTAACATCTGTCTGCACTAAAGGCTTCAAACACAGGCAAGTGATAAACTTTACACAGATGACAAATCCCATAGAAATCAATAGGATCACAGCTAATTTGATCATTTATATGTTTTCAGGATAAGGATCAGGCCTTCTGTGAAGAATATATACAGAAGAGAAATCCTGGACTCATTAAACCTATGGTAAAAACGTGCATTGATTTCTGTGCAGGCAGGGTTTCAAATAATGCTTTTAAAAAGGAAAATTAATGATATAAAATACTACTAGGGGACAAAGTTGCGCAGTAAAATATTTCCTTCCATTGGATTTGCCACTATTTTATTATAGCCCTGAAAATAAATAATAGTTTATCACCTTAGTAAGTGACTATTGATTTAATTAGAAGCTTGGACGTATTTTTGCCTAAACAAAATACACAGGCATTGACCCTGAATTGTCTTATACCAGAAGTAAGCCGAGTTCCACACATCGAGTATATTTGGAAGCAGAAAAAGAAAACAAAAATGTCTCAAACCTTTAGCATAAACATAGATCATCTGTCATGTAAAATAATGACAGAAGACTTTCCAGAAAGTAAAGCCAGGAAAAAAATGGCACAAAGTTGTGTTTGCTTCAGCTTGAAGTAAAGCCAAGAATCATCATGCAGCTCTCAAGTTTGCTATGTCTGTAGGAATTTGAGAGAAACATAAGAAAAGCTTCTGCCCAGCACGTTACATTGTGTGAAGTGAGCAGCACAGTGCAGGGCCCAGCAATGCAAGGGACCCTCTCTGGCTGCAGCAAGCTGCTGGGGCCAAGGTGGACTCTGGTGATCAGTGCCACAAACGTGATCAGGCTATGTGCAAGCCCTAGTTTGTTTGACCTCACCTGCCCACAAATAATACTGAGATGTGGCTTGGAACAGCTACACCACATAAACCAAGTCATGTCCAGGCTGACAGAAAAGTGAAGGGGACAGGTGAGTTCTGAAAGGATGCGCTGAGAGTTCATGGGAAGTGCTTCGTGGGAAGTGCTCATGCTGTACTGTGATAGAAAGTCATTTAAGGACTTGCACAGACAGACAGGTTGGATTAGAAAGAGGACAGGCTTGAAATAGAGAGCTTAAACCCTCAATAAGTATGAATTTCTTCAATATTAGGCAGTGTATTTTTAAGCCTGAGGACTGTTCCTTTACAATTCAACTGCCTAGGTTCTCAGCTGCTGTACAAGTTGTAAATTTATAAATCCACACCAGTATGTGCAGCTATAATGATAAACATTAGCAAATGATCAGAATCCTTTCAGTATCTCTTTTGAAAATATTTATCTCCCCGTTTTCTCTGGGATAACACCAGGTATAGATTTTTTTTTAATATATATATTTTACTCAAAAACGAATGTTTATTACATTTATTATCTACTTTACATACAAATCACATAGTAGTTACATACATATCCACACATATATAAAAGCTGCCAGATATGCAAAAATGTTATTAAGCATGTCTGTAGTGCTATAGTAATCCTTGCTGTATAAGGAAAAACTGCAACACTAGAATTTCATGGCAATGGACAAGTATCAACCATTGGATAGAAGACACTGAGAGCTGCAAGATGCTATTTCTTATCTATATAGCACCTAGCACATTTGCTGAATTCTTTAAACTGCCACAACAGTGAAGTAAATGTATTACAGAGAACTGGCAGTTAGATAAGTGAAAGTCTGTATTAGTCCTCCACTGGCCACTGACCTGCCCACCACTACTAGTGGCTCTATACAGGGACAGTGAATTGCCAAGTGAAAGGTTTTAACAGCAACTGTGCATGGTATTCCTTCATCTTTATCAAAATGTATAACCACATACTCTTCATGGACATTAGGTAATTTCACATTAGAGTGTAATAAAAACAAAAGGATTAAAAAGAAAATGAAGGTGAAACACTTGAATTGATGCACAAAAGTTCATACAAATATGATAAAGACAACTGGTCACAATGGGTAAGACTGAGTTGCCTAAACAGATGTTTTGGTTGTCCTGTTTGTGGGTCTAAGGAGGCAAACCACATTTTCACTTAACAGTCCTATGGCTTTCCCATAAGTCTCGTGTCAGCCCCATGTGTCTGTTCTGGAGACACTAGGACATCTGGGACAGCCACCTAAAGCTGAGAAAAGGTAGCCCAAGAACTCCACAGTGACAATTCTTCCCTGTGAGTATAAGGTGACGTCAAATATTACCTACACAGAGCAGGGGTTGCCAGGAAGACATCTAGAGTAGTCACTTGTGAAATTCTGTAACTTCTGTTGGGAGGTGAAGACATGCATCCCATGTTACCCAATTCTGTATTGAGCAAGTTAGGTATTTGCCTTGCTTACGCAGTGCATGTTTTGAAACATGCTACATCAAACAAAAATTTCTCCTGTCTCCTCCCACAACCTTTTTGTGAATAGCATATTCAGCAAAAGATTCTCATAGTGGAAGGTTTACACAGTTCTTTGCAAAAGTGAGACTATAGTAGGTAAAGTGTTTCAAAGTATGCTATCAAGGCAGAAAGATTCTAAACTACTTCACAAAGACCTTCCAATTTCTGGTAAACATTTAAAGAAGACTGTCAGCCCAGCTATGTCAGGAGGTTTGACAATCAGTCAAGTGTTTAGACTCTCTTTATCTCTGCTTTACACACACAGTGAATCTGTATATATATATATATATATAATGTTCACAGACTTTTATGAGTATATATATATATATATATATATATATTCAGAGATTCAAGAAGCCACAATGCCAGCATTTTAATAGCATGGAAAACATTCATGAATGAATAACCAACTGTGTGGGAAAAAAAGAAAATCAGATCATTTGTTAAGTAAAGTATTATTCAGGAAGAAGAGAGTGAACAAAAATGAATTTTGCAAATAATCAGTGGATTCCGTGTCTCATGATCCTTTCTTACTTATAGTGTAATTCAATACTAACTATACTCCTTCCCTGCCTTTAAAAAACAGTATGATGGTGGAACAGAAGCAAATAGATACCATATAAACAAATGAAACACTTAAAATATATACACATCCATGGAAAAATGACTTCAAAATTGTTTCAAATCCATGGAACATATTATTAATTTTAATTGTTAATGAATCAGAGACTAAAACTGCAAATGTGGTATATAAAAGCCAATGCCATGTAAAACCAGAAGACATTCTTTCCGAAAAACTGTCTTCAATAAGCTTCTGGAATACAGAATGTGAGGTGTGTTCCCAAACAATGAGAGGATGGATATGTAGACTAAGAGACACTGAGTTACTGAAATCAGAGGTATACAAAATGGGTTTTCTAGTCTCTTATTTAAATTTTAAGCACTGAAAAAATGATATGGAAGTGCTCACATCTAGCAGCATCCATTTCTCTTAATGCTCACAACACAATTTGAAAGGTTATTCTACACACAGTCCAGGGACTTAAAGTAAAGTTGTATGGCAGGACATATCCTCATGCATCTTCCAAACCTCACACTTTCTTTATTGCAACTCCAGCTTGTAGAAAGTGTCCAGTGTAGCAACTTATTGAATTATTCAGACTATTTCTTTCAAGCTGAAAATATTCCCAGAAAAGTGAAGACGACTAACACTGATTGCCAAGTACCATCTCCTCCTCTAGTAATGATGATACAAAAGCAAATTTATTTTAAAAAGGAACAAATATAGTTTTTCTATTCCATCACTACTTCTCACACACTTTCTTGGGACATCATCCATTTATTACAAGTGCAAGGGAGAAAGGGAGCTTTTGTGAGTGTCTCTGATTAAAGCTTAATGCAGAACATACACCGAGAGACAACATCCAGTACCAGGACCCTACAGTAGCTTCAGAATTATGATTTCTTGGATCAGATCATTAAATTTATAAAGAGAGTACATAAAACTAAATTCTTGAAATTATACTACAGAGGGACATGCTGAGGAAATCCTGAATTACTTGAGGTTTTGCTTTTCAGCTCCACATTTTCTGTAAAGGCTGCAAAATCTTAAGAGCTACTCCATGGAATTACAACCAGTCCTACGCCTCTCAAGTACCTAAATATTCCTTTTAAACCTTGTTAAGAATTCCTGTTATAATTCATTGACAGTAACAGTTAAACATTCTTACCTTTGGTTTTTGGCTTTTCTCCTTATCAGACACATTGGATGGTTTTCTCTTCAACATTTTAAATTCAGGTTTATCCAACTGATGTTTAACTGCTACTGGCTTGCAACTAAACTAAGCACAAAAAAATGTATACCACACAAGAGCACATCAGTTAATGCAGTTCCTTATTCTGTCAGGATGTGACCACGCAGCTGCTTTGCAGAACGGGTGAGCAAGCTGAAATGGTAGTTTGGGGAGGTAGTGAGGAAGGAGGGGAGGAAGTGACGGGGAGAGAGAGAGAGAGAGGTGCACTAACGAGATGGTTTGAAAATGAGGACAGGGTGCAGAGTAAGAAATTCTTTAAAACTTCTGTGTTACCATCCGGCCTCAATAAGACATTGCACAACCTCAAGAAATCATTCTCTTTTCCTCTCTCATTTTTCCCACTCAACCTAGTGGCAAAAACTGCACCCTTCATTTCAGCTTGTGCTGAGACTTGAATGTGAAGGAGGTGTGCTGCTCTTCTGAGCACCAAGGGATATTATTTCCCAGCAGATCTGTGCACTATGACCGTGTGCACTATGGCACACGGTCAAGCTGCTCCCTAATGTCTCCCTTTCTCTCTTAGCTCTAGTCATGCAATAAATGCAAGATTAAAGGCTAGTGTTTGGGAGAGAAGGAAGGATTTCTAAAGCCATTTTCTTATTTTGCATGGTAGAATATTTTTTTTTTGCCTTTCATCGCAGAATTTGGACACCCTGAAACAGCACTTTTTAGTCTTCCACTGTTGTTGGTTCGGTGGCAAAGTAGAAGGGAGAACAACCAAGTCTAACAGAAGGCTTACAACAAAGAGCCATGGGAGAATGATAAATTAAAATTCTATTTTTTACCCCCTTCAAAAACAAGTCAGGGCTAAATGAAAGTGGTGGTACTAAGATAGCTTAGAATTTATGCTTATTTTTTTTGATATAATTTGCCAAAGTCAAACACACACAAATCTGGACTATTGTAAAAAAAAAAAAAAAAAACTTATTTGTTGTGAATCATAAAACATAAAGCCTGAAAAGATGGTGAAAAACAAAACAAAACAAAACAAAACACAGCTTTTTGCTGAAAAAATGGATGAAAATTCTCAATTACAAACCTAAAATCTTTGGGCTACGCATAGAAATTCAATGAAATCGTAACATTACCACAAAGGAATAAAGAAATCTATTTTTAAGTGAATTGCAGAACTGACAAAATTAAGAAAAAAAACTTTGGTTGAAAATATTATTTTTCAAACTTTTGTTGACATTTTTCCAAAATGAAAAAAAAAAAAAAGTTTTCAAAAATATCTAATTTAAGCAATTTTTTCTCATAAGATTCGCATTGGTAAAACCTCTTTACAAAAAGCAATTTTGTGAAAACTCTCTTGCACCAAATAATTCACAAGTCATTGTGAATCCAAATACTCAGTGCACACACCCTAGTAAAGTCCAGTCTTTTCTTTCTGAATGTCATCATTTTACATGTAATAGTAGATCTGGGTGAACACAGACTTCAAGAGAAACTGAAACAAGAACCACCTGAACTGAACAACAGAAGAACTGATAGTCAAAACTGATAAGAGATACATAGGTCTGATTTTTTAGAATTTCCTTTCCCAACCCCAAGCACACTTAAAATTTTTTGAAGCATAAATGAGGAGACAATGCTGGATAGGCAGGCAGTCTCTTTGTTCATCCTCTATCACATGAATACTGCAAGGAGGGAAAATACACTACTCATCAGATGAATTCCTATTTCAGTTTCCTATTTGGACTACCAGTTAAATATATAAGAAAAGTTTTGAGGGCCTTCTTGGATTCTGATGGATATACAACTGAATGGACTGAGACTGATGGGTAAGTTATGCTTACATATGCTAATGGTAAAATGAGGTTTTCCTTTTCAGAACTTCTAAGAACTGGGTGGTTAAGAAATAGAGGAGGAACTGGGCTTAAGATACAGAGATTATGCCAAATACAAAGCAAGATTGTTCTTCAGGTTATTGGGTTGCAGTGAATTATGTGTTGAACCTCAGCCAGTTAACCAAGATGTTTCACTTCACAATTTAATCAGAACTACTCATTTAGAATAGAGCTGAATTTTATTATCAATAATAAGATATCTCTCAGATCTCATCATCATTATTATTAATTAAATATGGATTATTATTAATAATGACAATGATAAACTCTGAGGGATATGTTATTCATAATTATTAATAATTAAAATAATTAATTGTTATTAATAATATTGATGAACTATAAGGTATATGTTTCTTCCACGTATCTGTTACCAACACCCATTTTAGTTTTTAACCCTGAGGAGGTTTTACCATGGATATTTAATCAACCTTAGTAATTCAGTAGAGCCATATGTTGTTATAGTAGTTGTATGTATGTTTTACAGTGATTAAACCCAATTATTTATCTCTCTCTATATATACATTGCAGTATATTGCTTTTCTTTTTAATCTGTTCCAAACTGGAGGATTAAATAAGACTGTGCTGATAATTAGACTGTGATTTCCTGTCTCAGGCCACTGTTAAAATCTTCATGATTAATAAAATGAGAACTCATCTGAAGAGTAATATATGAGCTTCCTTTCTGTAGAATATTTATTGTTAAACAGGAAGAAAGAGGCCATTTCAAGAGATATAGTACCCACCCATATCTATTTCCTTTCCTCATCCACATATCAGAAAAATTATAGCAGCTTGAAAGCTGACCTGATTAGGTTCTTGCCCTTGGAAGGTTGACCCACACTAGTTTTAAAAAGTAACAAAGTGAAGAAAATCAAACATATATAACAGTAAATTCATTTAATCCAGTTAACCAATACATTTAAAAGAGGGTTCTTATGTTTTAAGAATTAATAAAAAGCCTGGTGCTTATATCCTCTGTATTTCAAGCAGATTTTGCAAAGAGGAATGAATACCTATGTAAAATTAAAATAAAAATTCTCATATTTAATTTTCTGTTGGACATGATTACAGGTAACCTATTCCATTTCCTTGTTGGTTTTTGGAATTGATCCAAGCCACATTGAAATCAATAGAATTATTTCAGATTAATTTTATGAGGCTTAGATTGGACTCCATCCTGAAATACCTAGGCAATGCCACTCTTTTCTCTCTAAAGTCCAACAGGAAAAAAGGTTTTCCACTTAAAAATAATTAAGATGACCCCATGAGAATGATTCCCAATGTCATTATATTTATAAAAGGCAATATACATTATAGCTTATTATCATTATTCATTTTTAATGAGTGGACTATGATGAAAGATCCTGGATACTCAAGTGCTTTATGTGTCACCCTCCCACACAGTATCAAGTGTCACAACAGTATCAAGCACCACACTCCTCAGTGACTCTGTCCAGTTCCCTTGCCTGGAAAGAAGAAACTACTTCCAGACTAAGCTGCAAGTACAAACTCATGTTTTCGGTATCTGATTATTTTTATAGATCTACAAAGTAGAGTGAAAATTAGAATTAAGGGTTTGATATAGTGGTCACTTGTCAAAACGCAAAGAAAATTAGGTATTTTTCATATTAGCAACTCAGTTTTCACTGCCTGTCAGACAAATCTGGACCAAGTTTAACTGAAAACTCAGAGATACGTGGGGACTGCACATTGCTTTCCCTTATGCTAAGTGATCCCAAAGTGTGTTAGTCTGTTTTAATTAAATTAAAACTTGTGTATTTCACAAGAAAATAAGGGTGCCTTCAGCCTCTGCTTTTATGTCCATGCCTCTCTGTGTATGATCTGGCTTGCTTAGGTATTGCAGAAATCTCAGAACAGGAAGTGGAGCTGAGCAAATAACTTGCCATGAATAATTTACTTAACAATTTTAGTCTTTATTTCCTCAAGGAATGCTCATGAGCAGAACACAATTTCCTCAAATGTACTAATTACTGGTCAGAATATAGCTAGATACTTCCCTCTCCTGGTCTAATCTGTACAAGGGCCAGCTACGGTGCAGTTTCTGCTACTTGTCAGCACAGTTCTCTCCATAAACTATGATGGCAAAGAAGCTACCGAAATTAAAGGAAGAAGAGTGAAAAAGTGAGGTCCCTCTCCCACTGGAGTGAGCATCCCTTTACCACTAGCAAAAGAAGCCAGATGTCGTTGGATGGGCTGTCTTTTAAACTAAACACTGACTTATTGTTTTAACTCTGAAGACTGAGGCTCTGTTTTTTCTTTGAGATTATGGGGAATGGAGCAGGAGCTTAAGGTCCCATACTCACTGCAGATTCATCACTCTGAACACCCAAAACTTAGCCATCAAAATTGGCCCACAACAGTTATGGGCTTTTCTTCACACAACGAGTTGTGTAATTTCTTATTGAATTGGATCCCATATGCTTTTTATCAGGAGAAAAAAAAAAAAAAAAAAGAAAAAAAGAAAAAGAGGCAACATAAACTCAGGTTCTGAGAAAGACAAAACAGGATTAACAATATTTTAAGTTTACGCCCTTGATTTGCCATAGGGTTGACACTATATCAAGAAGACTCCTATCCTGTATGAGGTAGAATTCTTATGAAGGCTGTAGAAATTGGCTATTCAGCAAAGCTTAAAATCAAACACCTAAAGGTTGCTTCAAAAACTTGATCTTCTCTAAATAATTTAAATTGGGGGCAGGGGGATTTTTAATGTTATACATCCACTGAAACAGCATCAGGAAACAAAAGAGTGGAGTCCAAGCTTGTTAAAGCGACAGTAAGGGCACAGATAAGCAGGAATATTGCCATTATGTTGAGTCCCAGAAAATGTGAATTCAGCCTCCCTGAGACTCTTGGGCTTCCTTTTCTTCCTGAAAAAAAAATATTTTTACAATTCTTTCTTTCTATATGCTAATCCTTTGCCACTAAGGTCAATGGAGTTGCAAAGAAATATGGCAGGGACAAGCTATAGAGCATCACTACCAAAGCTCCTACTGAATTTAGAGTCATGTCTAGCACAAAGAACAGTTCCTAGTGGGTAAGAAAAAATGTCTTATTGCCAGGCCCCCAGACTATGTCCTTGGCATGGTCCCAACATCACATGGCCTAAGGGGAAAATGAAGTACCAAGAACTTATCTCAAACTTTGCTCCCAGCACATTCTCTTGTATTAGCAGTAGATGAACAGATCAGTCATACCTACACTATGTCAAGTTAGCACTAACACTAATAAAAATCTATTCTATTGTGACAGAAGGATTCTCAAGGAGATTGGCTTTCA